AGTCAATCCCTCGACAACCGTTCTGCTGGAAACGGTTACACTATCACTCCTCTTTCTGTCATTGTCTATTATATACTCTTTACCCTCTTATTCCACTTCCGCCCTTCACAACTTCTCACTTGTTTACATTCCAATCATCCAAATGTGTGCCCTTTTGTGGCAAACCGAGTGTGGCCTCATCACACTTGCTATTTACCCCGAACCCTCTCTTTCGATGGCCTTATCCCACTCGGGCCTCCAATCCGAATCCTTTCATTGTCTCGTAGATCCGTAGATCCTTATTTGGCATTATGGCCAGATTGATTAGAATTCCTCTTCATGTGCAGCAGGCGAGCAGAGATAGGCGTTCACAATTTGCTCAGTGTACATGGGTTTAATAAAGGAAATGAGTCGTGGAGTCAAGGCTTGACATCTGCAAGCATGGGAATCAGAGCCTAGACGCTCTGGCATATGAGGCGACGGTGTATGCACCTCTAAAGGCCTAAAGTAAAACATATACTTGCATTGGAATCGAGTAAAATCAGTCAAGCAGAAATATAACAGGCCCATGAAGAAGATTGGGATAGGTCTGAGTCGGATCAGCAAATTGAGGGGAAGGGGGCGGGGGCAAAGCAAACAAGAGGTGTTATTGTGACATGTCTGTTCACTTCGAAGTAAAAGTTGGTCTGAAAGAATTCGTGATGTGGTCTCATCGGAAACAGAAGGAGGATTGCGGCGTCGGGATAACTGTCGAATTGTGCGGAGCATTGGCTTGCCGTCCGGCGACCCCGATGAAACTGTGCTAAGCTTTCGTCTGTACTGTGACAGACATCATCATAACAATAATTCATACTTTACCTAATGCAGCAAAAATATACTGAACCAAGGGAAAAGGTGGCCGGCTGCAACCCTAGTTGCTTTTTTATACACCTAACTTCGCGATCTTAAGGCATATTGAGGCATCTCATGGTTTGGTCGGCTACCCCAAACTTGACCTGCATAATTGCAGATGAATGAAGTCACTTCACGAACTGGAAGTGGATTCGGTGGCTGCACTTTCCTTACGCAAATAAACTAGCGTATGATTATCTAATGCTGATTCATGTTTCGGCTTGTGCTATTTCTATTGTCTGTATGTAATGTATCTAGCTAGACTCGAGGCTACTCCGACCTCTTGTTCAGTGGCTTTTACTCATCTCCCTCTTTCCCTCGCCTTAAGCCTATCCAACAGCCACAAGTATTTCCTACTCAGTGTATGCGAAGAAAAGTATGGTTTCGAGGGCTATATTGTTTAATAATTGCTAAGCTTACTTTTATTTCGAATGAAAATGTTTGGTAAAGAGATTCGAAGCTCGATCCAATCAGAAGAGGATGGCCGATTCCTCTTGACCATCTGTCGATTGGCTTTACTGGAACATTCTTGTTGACATTGTTTCCGAGGTAATCTCCTTCGATTCCGGTGAAAACGTGCTAAGCTTTCGTCCGTCATATGACAAAAACCATTGGAGCAGGGTATCATCTTTACAACCAAATTCAAACTAACGAGTCGAGAAAACTCATCGGCTCATCCCTAAAATGCTGTATATGTACTCTATATCTGACATCTTTGATGAGTTATAAAGGGATTTGATTCGTTCCAGTCATATGTCAACCTCTAAGCATGTGAGTGTTGCCGCCTCTGCATGTGTGCTTGTCTGTATGTATTGGCATATGCACGAAACCAGCAGTGATGGCTCAAAGTAATTAGGGCAGCGAAAGTAGTGTCTATTCTTAGCCATCAAGGTTTGATGACCATCATCACTCTCTTTCTATCTATATGTTTTAACCATCATTCTGATTGCGCAAGGTCGGACACACGTCTGGTTATGCTGAGGAGCGTTTTTGTCTTCATGTGAGAGAGAAAGAGTGGGCTAAAAGTACAGGGAATTTACCGCGATTGGAACCTAGACAAGAAAAGATTATGAAGTCTAACTGGGTTTCGTTGAATCTCCTGAGATAACACCGTTGGGAAGACCTTTATTTCGTTTAAAAGTGCATAAAGCTTGATTTCACTAGAAGGCGACGACTGAATCCCGTTGTTCTGCAACCGTTTGGCTTTATTTCGATGTTTAGGTTAACGCAGTCCACGAGACATCTCTCATCGCTTTGGGTGAAAACAGACGGAGCGTGTGTTCATCAAACGATTGAAATCATCAGACCTGTAACTCATTCTTGTAAAAGTCTCATGTTA